CTGATAGGTCGGACTGCTCACGCCGCACGGGGGCTTGATGCTTGCTCCTTATGAAGAGGGAGATAACCCTCAAGTAGCCTATGTTTGCTCTACGTTGACCATGTCCAAACACAATTGACAATCCTCCCGACTGGAGTAAGATTCTAAGCCAATTCTGGGGCACAGAAGTTGCCACCGCTCTGAGCTTCAATGTAAAGGTAGATTTTGGAATATGGAAGACTCTTCGTGCTGCATTGACACTCAGGATTGTAACTGCAAACAAGACATGTTCGATTAAATGAACTGTTTGTCAGCCTCTTCAACATGAAAGTCGAGATGGAGGGACTGTATGCAGAAGTCACTGGCAGAAAAGAAAGCAGGTGGCAGGGAGGAATGCCAAAAAAACTCTGACCTCGTGTCCCCAGGAGCGATTCTGGCTCCAGCGTCGGTTGGCCCGAAGGGCCGTGGTGACTCGCTGTGCCTGAAGTTGAGGTATGTTGAGGTTTCGCGGCTGGGAGCTGCTTACAAAGCTTGTGGTTGTTAGTTGCCACTGCTGTTGTCACGTCCGCGGGCTTCGAGCAGTCCAAATGCAAAATAGTTCGTTGCGGATTCCTTCTGCAAGCATTCCTGTCTCAGCTTGAACCTTATCCGCGGACCTGCCTCACTGCGGCAGACGGCGTCCAAATCAGAAGCCATGGCACGAGGAGGGCGGCTTGAACAAGGACTTACAGCACCGGCTTGAACATAGCTGCTCGTGACCCAGCACTGTTGCGCCCTCGCATAGGGGGCCTAGCCCACTGCGTTGCTTGCACAAGACGAACTGGGAGGCAGCCCAGCGACTGGTCATGCGCATAGACATTGCAGGAGTGGGGCTCGGGGGCTGAATGCACGAGCCGTGTCTAGGTCCGGCTTCATGCCGAGGTTTGATGGGGCAGGCTCGCTCAAGCCGCAGATCCTGCTGCGGAGGCCAGATCAAGCCAGTCAGAGCGCCTTATTATGGGTCTCTCGTTGCAATCGTTCCATCGTGCATTGGGCGCTTTCAGTCCTGTCTTTTCGCTCTTCGCGGTCTGCTTATGTCCGGTGCTGAGGGAGTGTGACGGCAACCATTGTTGGCAAATCCAAGCCTCTGGGCTTCAGGCTCTCTGCATAGCTCCTCCACCAGGACGACAATGACGACAGCACGTTCGCCGCGCACCGGAAAACGTCTGCTGGGCGAAGTCGGGCCGCACGAAGTGGGCGAGCACCACGGCCGGGCCGGAGAGCACGGCCAGTCAGAGGCTTCATCACGCCGGAGCAGCTTTCTCTGAGGGCATGAAGGACTCGAGGGAGACCTGCACTTTCTGGCTCGCCGCCCCCTAGCTGACCGTCTCTCCATGCCTCTCCCTCTTTCGCTTTCTTTACCTCTCTGTCGGTCGTTGTTCTTCTCACCTGATCTCGGAGATTACAGGGAGCTTTCTGAGAGGTGCCTGTCCAGCTTGGACTCGAGCTGCTGCATCCATGTGCAGCTCAGCGGATCGGAAGAGAGGAACCTCTGGCACCTGGCACAAGTAGGGTTTAGGCTCGTAACCCCAGAGAAACTGGACAGTAGAAGTGCTGGCTTACTGGACGTCTCAGCTCAGAACATCCCCAGGTCGTAGCAGCAGCTCGATCTCTGTGCATCCGAGAATAACACCTCCAGATCCACCCCATTCGCCATGGAGCTTTCTTGCCATCTCTGCAAAGAATCCTCAGGGTTAGTCTATCGAAAACCGGAAATTTTGGGCTGCGCTCAGGACTTTCTCTGACATCGCGGTCCCCCAAGCACAGGCAGATTTCTCGAAGGGCAGCTGAGAGGCTCCTGGATTCATCCGTAAACTTGTCGAAGCTCAGCTCGTCGCAGATGATCTTGTAACATCGCTGCCTTGGCTTCGGCCCAGATTTGAAAGAGTCTCACACGCCACATGGCATCCTAGCAGAATCGCAGAAGCCATCAAATTGATGTTTTTGCAATGCCCGAAGCTCAGCAGGAATTAAAACAAGCGTCCGATCCTCCTCCGCAGGCGGCACTACCACCTCCACGCCGTGAAGGGCCAGCCGCTCCTGGGAAGCTGCCAAGGCTTGGGCCCTGGGGCCCCCTAAACCCTGAACCCAAAACCCGAAACCCAAAACCCTAAACTCCATCGATCTCTAACGGTTTCTGCGAGACGGCGCGCCTTCAGCCAGGAGCCATCCCGCATCGTCGGCTCCGTGCCCAGAAGGCCTGGAGCTCTGGCTCCGCAAAAGAAGTGAGGAGACGAAGGGTGAAGAACGGATTTTGAAAGCGCTTTTGGGGTCAAAGAGACCCCCAAGACCCTAAGAAGGGTCCCCAAGAGTTTGTGAACCCAAGCCTACGGGCCCGGCGCCGCGAGCCGCTGCTGCGGTACAATCGGCGATGTGGAGAACCTGGGAGCTACTGCCCGGTCCCTCAGAAAAAAAGCGAGAGCAGATCGCAGCGGCTAGGACAGAAGCCCCTCCATCCTATTCGCTACTGCTCGCCATGTCTTCTGCGGCTGCACCACCACCACCATGACGACGACGACTTCTGCTGCTGCTGCTGCTGCTGCTTCTGCTTCTACACTGCCACTCCTATTGCCGTTAGCAAGACGGTGCTAAAGAAAACGACTGTAATAACTTTAAGGCAAGGGCCCTGCGAGGAAAGAGCACCTCTATCGTTTTGACGAGAGCTGGACCCAAACTTCCACAGGAAGCCCAGTACGTACTCTTGGCCAAGACTCCGGGAGATCCGGAAATCGTTCACGTACAAGGCCTTGCACAACGGAACACTAGACCAGGCTGCTTGGGGCCGTTCTTGCAGCACTCTGCAAACATTGGCCACTCAGACCCTCCAACCCTGCAGGGGCTCCCAACATAATAAATGCCCAAAGCCAAATTCGCAGGTGAAGTGAGACCGAAAAAGGCCGAAATAGGAAGAGGGGCCCACGCAGATGTGCGCCGTGTTCGAAGCGATCACCAGGAAGTCCACACCTGCCCGATGCAGCTTGGCCACGCCGTTGGCCAAGTAGTCCTCCCGGGGGGGCATCGGGGTTGCCGAGCCTCGGGAGGAGGGACGGGACACGGTGGATATAAATTATACATTGTATATTTTATATTATATATATATATTATAGTATATATGACATATGATATATGATATAGTATATGTTATATTGGGGTCAGGATCCGACCATCTCGCTCCTGCACGCCCTCCGAGTCCTTCGCTGTCAGCAACCGCACATACTCGTCACCTGGGTGCATGTATCAAGGAATTGCTGGGACATCGGTGCACGAGCACCCCAATGCAAAAGGAAATGTTGGTCTGTAAGCGACAAACAACATCAGCAGCGCACACAGGGCTCCGCTGGACCCGTCGCAGAACGCGAGATAATAATAGTAACAATAATCATAATAATCATAATCATAATTATAGTAATGATAATAACAGTAATAATAATAATAGTAACAATAATAATAATAATAACAATAATAATAATAATCGTTCCAACCGGGCGAGGCCGTCCCGACTCGCAAGTCTGGCGGGTGCAAGAAGCTTTGCTTCGTGGATTCACCAAGGACCAGCATGGAACACGGGACAGAGACAGAGACAGTGCTACAGATTTTGAGCAGCCAAAAAATCGAAGTCCAAATTAATTGGGTAATTTGGAATTACATTTAGCAAGGGGAGCACGCTGGAAAGCATTTGACAATAGTCTTTCTTGAACGACCAGTGCCACCCGCAATGGGGGCCATCTTGATGGTGTCCATTCTGCTGGGTCTGCTGGGGGTACGGTTTCATGCGTGCGCTTGAGCCGAAGATTGCACTGCAGTCGAGTCATGGCAGCCGAGGCCGAGGCAGTCAACGGATACGATGACCATGTCAGAGTTTTTTGCCATGATGTGGCCATTCGGCAGCAACTTCGCGATGCGCTCATTGATCCCTGGAACACAACAGAAATCTGAAGTGTCGCTTGAGCCGAGTGAGGTTCTGCCTCTGTAGTAGTCGATGCCAGACACGTAGCTGACCTCAGCAAAAGGCGACAGAGAACTTCCGAGATGCTAGTCAAGCCAGTGCCTGCCCTGAGACGAGTCACTCCGGTCAGCATGCCGATAGTCTGCATCGTGAAGGACCAGCTGGAACCAAGAAAAGACAACCCCGCAACAGCCAGGAGCGGGAGCAGCGCAGAGAGTCCGGGGCTTTTGCTCCTAAGCATGACGCTGCCCAGAAGCTGCAGGACACGGCATGCATCAATCCAAGGATAATAGTAGTTGCCCATGGCATAACTCTCGTCGTTGTCGTGCTTTGTGGCTTCTCAGCATGGAGTTGTAAGATCGAAAACTAGTCCCTGATAAACTATGGAGTCCATCTGGCTGACTCTTCGAGTCGGCAAGATGCAAGCGAATGCGAGCTACGGCTGCCGAGTTTGGGCAAGGACTTGCGCCCGTGCGTCGGGATCTGGTGCTCACCGACGCAGACTAAAAAAAGCGCAAGAATAGCGCCAAAGAATGCCGACCGAGCTTGGAAGGGCCAACAACTGATGACTTTCATGGTTCGCGGAAGCTCGGGCTCTTCCGGTCAAAAGCACAGACACTTCGGGGCCGCTTTGGGTTCAGCTGTCGCCCTCACACGAGACTGACCCCGAGAGGTGACGGCAGGAACGGAAGAGGTGCCATCAACACTGGCGGTCAATCCAGTGCAGTCTCATTGTGCGACACTTCCAAGCAAGCTTGACAGGAAGGTGAGACCTCCGTGGTGAGAAGGGCCCACACTCCGGCTGTACAGGGCTGCGCAGCCCGCAACAGGGCATCCTGAGAGATCGTGGAATCGATCGAGGAGTCTCTGACTCTGACGAAGCGTGACAAAAAAAGACACTGGCCACGTGTTGCTGGACCTGCGATATCCGAGAGAAGAGCTAACCTCTCCCAAGGGCAGGTCAGGAAACTTCCTTGAAAGACTTCGCACGTGTGTCCAGTTGGTCTGAGAGGGAGCACCCCTCCCGGGAACTTCGCTACGGGTCTTCATCGCGGACGGTGACCTCTAGGAGATACTCGGGGTAGACCTGCGATGCAATTCGTCGGAGTGTTCTCCTGCAGAGCCATGCACACGTCATGCTTTGTGGGCTGCCGACCTGCATCTCATGCCAGACAATGAACTCACGCGGCCCTTCGCGCAGAGGATTCGCAAGGACGGAATTCTTGCCAACCTTCCAGAATTGCTCTGCCGGACGCGTTAAAGCAGTTTATGTTTGTTGAAGCTGGAAGCTGCTCGTACAATGGAGGTGCTCGGTGCTCTCCCTTCAATGCATTCAACATGACTCGGGCAGAGTGTTGAGCACCGGCGCCTTGTGCGCTGAGATGACGGCATCCAGTTCATATCTTTCGCTGGTGTAATACATCTGGCCACACAGCACCCGGCAGAGTAGCCTTCGCTTGAGGGCGTGACTGATCGAGGCTCTTTACATTCTCTGCTGGAAGACGAAGAAAGACGTGCCAAGAGTCAGAAATTGCGAGGTCGTGCGTCCATCAGACGATGTGTTGACAGGAGCCTGAAGTACGGTGCAGCAAATCTTCTGTCAGAGCACGGACAGTCCCACCAGAACACCTTACAACACGGTCTATGCTGCGGCCTGAGCGTCATAAGCTAAACTCTTGCCCACGTCCTCAGCGAAATACAGACCACAGCCGTAGCGCGCGCCATTCTTTATCTCCTGAGACAAGCTTTGCCAGCAGCTCCCAACGGCCTCAACTTCAGCATCCGATCCCTCCGTTTGCTTTCTGGACCCTTTCAGTCCTTGGGCACGCGGAAGTCAGCTCTTACAATCGCCTCTGCCGCCTTGCGACTGGTGCCGTGCCAGAGAAAGTGCTCCTTGGCTTGCGAGGATGGGGCCATTATTTCATTTTCGTATGATTATTATAGTTATTATGATTAGTACTGTTACTATCTTTGTGAATATTAGGCCTATTAATACTATGATCACTACTATTACTATTACGATGTTTGTCGTTCTTCTTGCCTTTTACGAGAAATCAATATTAACCTTATTGCTACTATTAATGGCAATGCTTTTTATAATATGTATGATTAAGGCTTCTCATTATTAGTACTAGTCTAGTGTTCGTCTGAGTGCTAGTTTTATCTTAGTCTGAGTGTTAGTACTAGCAGTAGCATGAGAATTAGTAAAAGCATTAGCATTAGAACTCGTAGTAGTGCCAGTATAAGAATTAGTCTTAGTTATGTAGAATATTGGTAGTATGCTTTTTTACTACTAGACTAGTAGTAACATAATTATTGTTACTATAATTATTATGAATGTATATGACTATGACCCTCTTTGTGAATTCCTGCCCCTTCCGGCCTGCAGTTCTCCTTCCAAGGACTCTCCCCTCCACGTCGGTGGTCGCACGCCACCTGAGCAATAAGGGCCTCCAGTTCTCTGAGCTCATGTGCAGCAACGGCCAGGAACGGGTGGCCTTCTGACGGCCTCTTCATAAAGGCATCTGTGAGAACCTCCTCAGCTTCCCAAGGAGAGCAAAATGTATAGCAAGAAAAAGAAACAGTAAATAGGAAAGTCCATAAATGGCAGCCACGGCGTGCCCTCACATTCTATGCAAGCGTCATGCTTGCTCTCCTCCCAAGCATAACAACAAAACACTAAGTTTCGTGTTAACTCAACGGACGGCACCCATTAAGCCGGCCAGTTCAAATCAGAGAAGCGATACATCATATCGAAATGCCGGCTGAATAAACCAGACTCTTCTGCACTGGCCCTGCAGCACTGCAACCCCCAGCAACCAAGTGTAACAACACAAGTCCAACTTACGGTCCAGCCCGAAGCCTTCCAGAAAACTCACCCAATACTGTCCGCGAGGGGCTGCACCGCGTGCCTGGCCCTCCTCCGAGGCTGGCGCTTCCCGGTGTTGGGGGTTTAGGGTTTAGGGGTTTAGGGGTTTAGGGGTTTAGGGTTTGGGGTTTAGGGGTTTAGGGGTTTAGGGTTTGGGGTTTAGGGCTTAGGGTTTGGGGGCACTGCGGATGCCTGTCGCAGCATGCGTCAGAAAGGCTTGCGACAGCTGAGGTGGCTCATGCACCATTCAAAACAGGATGTCCAGTACATGCGATGCTTGATTCTCCACCGGAAAGCCTGAGAGCCATTGCTAGGACAAGGCAACACACGCGCTCCAAGAACTCCGCCGATGCGAAGGCTGCGAGGCCCGAGGCTTCTAACTCCCCTCGCAGCCTGCTCAGCAAGTGCAACACGTGCCGATTGCACCTAGACCCAATCTAATCCTCTTGCAGCACTTTTCAACAAGAAGCTTTCTTCAAACGCTTCGGACTATTTTCGGTATACTTCAACATCTGTGGCCACCCTGGATGTGTAGCCTCTTCTTGTAGAGAACGTAGCGGTTCCAGAGGCTGGATATCTCGATCCGGCGCGCTGAAAGGACCTGCTTCAAAAAAAGGCATGTGGCTCCACGACAATGCCCTTGCACCAGCCTTGCCTATCACTTCCAAACGTATGCGACAAGCAACGATCAAGCAAACGGAATGACCCCAAGCAGACGTCCATCACGAAACACCTTCTCTCCCAGACGCAAATCTCAAGCTGCGGAGCCTCGATCCTGCGACCACCTCAGGGATGGCAAATTTTTCCGACGCAGCCGAGCTCACCGAAGTCCAAAAAGACCAGGAAATTCGATCCAGTTTGCAACTCTCCCAGCCTGGGTAGCACGCCTGCGCCATCTGCTCCAGCACATCGCGTTCCGGTCTCCGCACACCATACTGCACCTGCAAGACGAAAAGCTGATAAAACGAAAAAAAGAAGAATACTAACAATAGTACAAATAATGGTAATGGAGATAGTATTAGTAGTATATATGAATATTGACAATAGTAATAAGAGTAGTAGAATTAAGATTGCCAGTTTCGAGTCGCTCTGGAGCGGAGTGGTCTCGTGCCTCGAAAGACTCCACCTGCGGGTTCAGGTGGAACTTCTGGAAATAGACCGGCAGCCTGAACGCCAATCATCGGCCCGGCGTCGTCCGAAAATCACAGCACAGCCACGCCCCTTTCCAGCTACTTTGTGCCGCTAGGGAGCTGTGCGTGTAGCGGAGGCAGGTCGAACCGGAACGCCTCCAGTGCCACGGCCTCCATTTGTCGGATCTGTTTGGGGTTTAGGAGAGAAGGAGTCAAGAGGCTGTTTTGAAGCTCCTTTGTTGGCCTTGGGCCGCCGAGAGTAGAAGATCACATACTCCGGATAAACCTGCAAACGAAGGAGGGAGTCCAGCTCTCTGTGCTCCCCAGCTGTGACGCAGTTGAGCCTGGTGTGGGTGGTAGGCAGTAAACTCTCGGAACGTGTTCGCCGTGCGAGTCCTTGCGAGAAACTCCAATGCGAAGACAAATGCATAAAGCATCTTTTTCAACCTGTCCTGTCGCCGACTGTGCTGTCAATAGTCCCAGCTTCCGCCATACCACCTGCAGTGTGTGGCGGATCTACAGAGCACAGGTACACTTGAAAAAAAGCTTCAATGTGCGAAGAACCAAACTCTACCCCCAAAGGCTACAACTTTACTGCACCTGACCTTGTCAGACGCGGAACTGTCTCTCAGACGTGGGGCCCTGACCTGCGGAGTCAAACCGATCCTCCGAAAAGTGGAACTTTCCCAGGCATACGCGGCAAAGGAGGAGGGCGAACACGTCTTGGTAGAAGCCTGGACAGTGGCCCCACATGTTCCCGGATCATCTGAAACAACCCTCTCAAAATATGGCATGACGCGCGTGACCGAGGGAGCCCTGCATCAGCCCGAGTCACCATGCGGCTCGTCCCTCGCATACTCGTCTGCTTTCGTGCCTCGAACCACAGCTACCAGTAGCTACCACCAGCGGCAGACCACTCGCAACTCATCGACTCGGCTAGCCGAGGAGCTGTTCTCTGCGAAGTACATGCCTTTGCCGTACATGGTCCCGTTCAATCCCGCCATCTGAATGTCGAAACCCTCGTGCGCGATGTTAAGGGCTGCCCGGACGTGGGTTCCATGCCACAGATACACCTCGTTCAAGCTTGAATCCACGGGAGCAAACAGCTCAGGGTGCTGGTCCACCACTCCTCGCAGTGCATGCAAGTTGATGAGCGCACTTCAACTCTAAGGCCACGCAGCCTTTCCCCCAAAGTCTACTACGCGTGTCAAGACATCTCCACATGATGTCACACCAAGTCCTGCGGTGCACACTGGATCCTCGACTTTCCCCATGCCCTGCATCAGGGGCTTTCAACTACAGGTTCGGACAGAGGTGGACGGTTGAGGATCCCATGATGAGGCTCCAGGACTTGAGGCCGAGGATTGAGAAGCTTAGTGAGGTTAGTGTAAATAAATAAATCAATAATAATAAGAATAACAATAATAATAATAATAACAATAACAATAATAATAATAACAATAATAATAATAATACTAACTACATGGTTTCGTTATGATGGTAGCTTAAAGTAAACCCCTGAACAAGAACCCAGCAGTCCTTCGGAAGCAGCTGAATGTGCATAGGACACATTCCAAGGACGCTGACTGTGATGACAAACTCAAATCTCAAACCCATGAGCCTAAAACCCGGTGTCCAGAAGAAATAATAATAGTAATTACAACCGCATACTGGCACTGCTTGGTGCCGACAACCACACTGCTTGCAAGTTGTCTCGGCAAGTCGCGGGCCACTACCAAATCGGAAGAGTACTGGTTGGCTCCGAAGGCGGAACAGGCAAGAGCCACAGTGCTGTCTAGAGTCATCGTTCATGAAAGCCTATGCCTTAAATCACAAGCCCGCAAGTAAAGCCACCTGATGCCTGCGAGCAATAAAGCCTTGACGAGTAAGATTGAATTACACAGCTTTATAGACTTCTTGATACACTGACCTGGCGTCTGGACTGAAGCCGCGCCCTCTTCTCCACAAAGCGCCTCCAGCTCCTCCGGACATCCGGGGGTTGTGGGGCGTCTGCTGGCTGGTGGTCTTGTTGGCTTGGGTTTGGGGCTGCCCCCATGGCTTCGCCGTGTCCCGGAGTTCTCGGCCCGGAGCACCCGGCGAATCACGTAGCTGGCGGGCAATCCTCGAGGCCGCAGCTACTAGTCCTACTCTTTCTGAGATTCTGAACTCGTAAAGGTCATTCTGGGCACTCTCCCGGCCTGGCTCACCATCGGGCTGCACGCAGGGGCATCCCCCGGGCCTTTTGGGGCAAGCGCCATGCGGACATGGCCTCTCGGCAGGCAAAGACAACGAAAGGATGCAGGGATCCAGATCAGTGTTTGCAATGTGCTCCTGTCTTGGCTGCTTCTTGCCCGATAGGTAGAATCAAGGAGTTCTGCAAACGGCGCCCACTGCTCCTTACAAGCATATACAGCTAAACGATCCCAACAGCTTTCTTCCAGCTTTACCGTCTCCTCTCCGACATAGAGCATCGAATTGAACTCCGTCTCTTCACCTGCGCTGCCTCAGGACACGAAGCTAGACTCCCGCTTCTGCTTCGGCTGCTTGCTTTGTTGCCTTCTCCCCAACGCTTTTACAATCACATCCCCTCTGTCGCGGAGGGGCTCCAGTATGCAGGTATTGCAGCACGGACATCAGCTTCCAGTGGTTCACCCTGCTCCTTAAATGCTCGGCACTTCTCCGTCACAAGTCGACGGCGGTGGGCTACGACGGCGCGAAAGGTACACGAGCATGCCAGATCTTTTCTGGCAACCATCAAGAACTCCTGCTCGGATCTCTCAACCCCCCTTCGCTACGCTTTCAAACATCGTGGTGCAGAAGCACCATTCAATGTATCCTCCCAACAGCCAAGGCTCGTCAATGAAGCACACCGCCTGGCACCACGGATCTGGGGAAAGCTGAGATGGACCAGGGCATGACGGAGGCCGAGAGTGATTTGATCCGGGGTCTCGGAGATATCTGCCAGTCCCTTCCTACCCGGTGCCACCGAACGTCGGTAGGCTTATACGAGTGCAAGCATGCCGAAAGCGGGAATCCAACGTTAAAGCCAACGCTGACACTCAACAGTCCAGCCATCCATGAAGCCACGGAATGAGGAGTTTGACGTCGGACCCTGGGCGCCTTGGGGCCAAGTGGAGCCCGGATCCATCCTCGCCCTTGGGACTGGTGGTGCCGTCGCGTTTGCGCTCGGGCTTCGGGGGTCGCAACCTGTACGATTCTGACTCTAAGACGGCCTGAGCACTACGAACCATATCAGCCCTTCCATCCCAACTCCCAGAACCCTCTTTCAACAGCTCCATCGTGCACTTGAAAATCCAGGTGGGCATCTGAGGCAAAAATGAGTTTGGCGTTGATTCGGGACGAAGCCGCTTGCACATTTCTTTCCGCAACCCGACCGTGTGGTCATCAACCACCATCACCACCACCACCACCATCATCATCAGGAGCAGCAGCATCATCATGCTGCTGCTCCCTGTCACGTAGAAAGATTTGCTTTCTAGTTTCAACGACCGCCGGCTGACACCACTATATATCATGTCTAGGATGCTACGCCGTTCATGAAGCATCAAGTCTTCTCAGTTGCATTTTCCTGACATGCAGATCTCAAGTTACCCACGAAGTCTTGACGATCATCGAGTGCCTGTCACCCCGCATCAAGCAGACAAGCCGAGCTTCAGTAGCAGAAGAGCACCATGCCTGCTGCAACTGCAGAAGTCGGCAGAGATCCGGCTGAGAAGGAAGTCAATGAGAAGGCAATTTTCCCATGACTTTGAAACCTTCTATCACTCCCACCTTGAATCGCACAGAAGAGTGCCAGGAGCCCCACCAGGTGTGCAATCATGTCCGAGCCAGAGCGCCCATCAAAGACGGTTTTGCCTTGGCTCACAATCTTTGAGGCTTGCGGGAGAAGCTTCGTCCCTCTACTTCGATGGGGCCACGCCGGAGGCTGCGAACGCCACAATCGTTTCTTCTCCCGGAGTCGCACATCTGAACGGCATAGTAGGTACAGCCTCGGAAGGATCGCGGGTACCGGTCTTCTTTGTCGCCACATGCTGTCGCCGCACGCAGACTCTCTGAGGCGAGCCACCGGTTTCCCGGTCCGAACAGTTGCCTCCAGAGGCTCTGAAACTCTGAGACTGAACGTGGCTTCATCTCTTCGAAGCCCTTCGTGCAGCCTCTTGATCGGCTTACACGGTATGCAGAGCATCGCTGGCATTTCTGCACTAGAACAAGCACCTTGCTGGGATGTCTGGGAAGTAACTTAGCAAAGCCATCGAAACTCACCCAGCACAGCTTACAGCACCATGGGACCCGAAACGGGAACCACTCCTTCCAAAACACGCCTGGGCTCAAAGTTGAAAGCCTTCAACCCCCCTCAGAAACAACGTCCCTTTGGGCGCCGCGGGCCTATCTCACAGTTCCGGAAGCACGCCTGGCCATGAATTGGGTAGGTCATTCCTGCAATCTGTGTAGGCACCCCTGTACCTTCGAGGTGCTGGAAGTAACAAGCGGGCTTTAAGCAGGCTCAGCCAATGACTCATGGCTCAGTTCATCTCGCGACACGACTGGACGACTATCTTGCCGATTTGATGTGGAGTTCATCTCCCTTGTTTCGGTCCTAACATGCATCAACTCCAGCATCAGCGAACTCATTCAATTCAAGTGTTCTCCAATACATCCGCTCCGGATTCGCCAGAGAGATGCCGCAAGCTACAGAAACAAGCAATCACCTCTAGCAAATCGAGCCTGGCAGTGCTCTTGTTCGGAGCAGTAGCCTCAGCGCTCGCGGCTCACTCGTCTTGGATTTCAAGAAGAAGAAGAAGCAGAAGAAGCTGGACCATGCGGTTGCCCTTGAGGTCGGGTTTAGGTTTCTCTGTACGCAGGCCAGGAGATTTTGACTTAACGACAAACACACCCAAATCTTAAATTCAACATGCAGCGTTGCCAGACCAAGCTGGAGACTTCAAGGTCTAAGCTGCTATGGCGGAACGACTGCCACGTCGTTAAAGCTTCAGAAAAGCTGCTCCAGCAGGACTCCATCGTGGAAGCCGCGTTTATGATAGCAGGACCTGCACCCACCAACAAAACAAGGGGAGATACTACAGTGTTTAGCTTTTGGATTTAAGCCTTTCTCACGCAGAAATTAAAGCCGGCTTCGTCCATGCACGCCTCACCCCTCGACACATGTCACCGTCTGTGCACATCTTGCAACGTTACTCCCTATGGACCTGGTATAGCTCCGGCACTGAGGCAGTAGGCAAAGTCTTCCTCTATGAAATCGGCAAGGCCTGGATGGGATCCTCGGCGTTGATCACTGTCGTCACGCATGGATGTCAGACCACCAATGACCCTGAACATTCTAGGTCTGAATCAGGCTGTATAACCTGGAAAAAGGGTGTCTTTCTGGAAGCAGCCGTTTGTCAAGACGCATCGGTGTGTGCACTTGCATACCGGGACGAAACGGCTACCGAGCGTGCGCAATTAAGCTTATAAGGATACACATGGTGCGACCGCCAAGTGCCAATCAAACTGGGCATGGCCTTACACTGTTCTGCGATGCAATTCGCTTAACTTTGCGGGGGTGCCTCCGGTCTCAGGATCTTCGCTGGATTCATTCGTCGGAACGTCCAGTATGTACCCACGTTTCCTCCAGCATCCATCTGCCACTGTATGCGATAGCCCTGGCTCTGCCTGCGACGTGTACTGAGTGACTCCTTGTCAATCAAAAAACACGGTCACGATGCGTTTACAAACCAAGAAATGCACCTCGGATATTCTTCCGGACCCTGTCGAGGATGTGTGAACCGCATGGAAGCCGGAAGAATTGCCGCGTGGCCAGTAACCATCATTCATGAATATGGTGCAGTTTCCATCCGGTGTGATATGAAATCCGGGGCTCTCGGCATTGGAGAAGGAAAACTCCATGCAAGCATCCAGACAGCAGTGGTAGTGTTGAAACGGGAGCATGGTGAAGGCATCGTAGCTCCGGTTCCTGCACCACGTGAAATTGCACAGATCTATCTGCAGTTAAAGCTGGTGGCCATTCGCTTTGTCTCGTACTGGTACCTGAACAAGCATGTTAAATTGCCAGCAAGGCTCAGCGAATCCAGGCAGAAGCCGTCCCCGACACGCTCGAACGTGTCAAAGACTGCATTCCCACTTGGAAATGCCAATCCCAACAGCAATTCGAAGAGTAGTCGGCCGAAGCGCATCAGCACCCAAGGTTGGAAGGTCCAGTCTCTTCCTACGTTTTGGGACGTGCGGGTTACATGCGACACTGGAACATCCGCTCCAAAATGAATCTTCTTACTGCAACGAGAAAGTATATCATCAGAGAGAACGAGAAGTGTTGGCATTACACACAAAGTGGTCTGTCGGCAATGACAATGATGGTAGAACAATGAGCAAGCAACCTTTGTATGCTCATGGTCATGGCTGCTACCTTCACACCGGCTTAAGCAAATATGCAGCTAGCTAGCGATGTGGTTTTTCATGTCATGAAGCGATATGCACCTGCCCATACAAACTTTCCAACTTTGCGAACAGCTGGCAAAATGCAATAGACTCGACACGCCTGAACACAAGGGTAAAACGAAATTCGTGAGCCGACACCGAAACTTCATCCTGCCCACCGCTTCGACAAATTGCTTCGAAGTAAGAAACTACTCCATGCATGAGCAAAGGCAGCAACGGCCGGGGGGGTTCGATTTTTTCCGTGGGGTGGTACTGAAAAGTCCTGAGGTCCAAGCCTGTCTGGAAGGGTTTACGACGTACCACCTTCCTTAACTAGGTTAGACCCACTCTCCCAAACAAAAGGGGGGGGGTACCTCGTGTGGCTCTTACTCTACCGAAGTTAGACTCTTGCTCCTTTTGTGGGGGGGCACCTCGTGCGCGAGATAAACCTCTCAATGGAGCTCCACTGCCACGTTGGGCATTTTGGTTTCATGGTCCACACCATGTCGGCACTGCCAACGTCTTCTTCTTCTTTGGGCACCATTGCGCAGAGCCGACCAGTCGGGTCTTTCTGCTTGCTACACCAAGCACCGGCAGCCATTCTCGTCCCGTCGGACAATGGTCTTCCCGCCAACCTTTCGTTAACTCGTGGTCGTGCACATTAAAATCCACAGCGCTACGTGGCAGAGCATTAGCTTCTATTTTGGCATCACTCTACTGCCTCAGACCTTCCTACACAACGACTCGAAAACAAGCAGGAGTGAGCATTAAGAATCGGAGAGGCTTTCTCACCAAGACCAGAAATATTTTGTGGTTATCTGTGCTCATCAATTCTGCACAGCTCGGGGTGACGGAAGAATTGTTTCGTGTGGATGAAACATTTTTGACGAACTGAGGCTGGCTTCACGGGTCGTGCTCTAGGCACGAAAAAGATCGTACTCGGAATGCTCGAATCGATTTAAGCACTAGGCATATTGCTGGGGCAGCTTGGTCTTTTACTGACAAGTTCAATTAAAAGTGGATGTCCGGTCCGAATTCCGTCAACCACAAGCAGAAAGAATTTTCTAGACGGGAAACAATCTTCGGGAAAGAGGTTGTTGTGTCTATGAATGCTACTGAGGGCTTTTTGGCCGACTTAAAGCGTGGATGCGCACTAATACACTAAAACTGCAAAAATTATTTGTGGACAGCAACTTAATCCTTTTGCCGCTTTGCTTCAACAGATTCTGTTTTGGCAAGAGTACCGCAACAAGCTGGCAGCACCTCCACCGACAGCAAGAATGACGTTGAGCCACCGAACATTTTACCTTCTCCCAGGTATGTCCCATGCGAATTTTTCAAGGGGGCCTGAGAAATAATTGAATTAGTTGAAAAAAAATAAAGGGGGCTTTAGGGGGGAGAAGGCTTCGAGACCCCCTGAAGGCCCCCCTTTTTCAGAATTACGAAGCTTAGAATTCGTCAAGTCGTGAAAACGCGAAGCAACTGTTTTCACTCCACGCTTGAGCCAAACACCGAAGTGTTCAGCAAGGTCTCTCGGAGTCTTGCGCAGTTCACTCTAGTGAATTCCGTCTCAACTTTGCTAAACAAAGGA